ATGCAGGCTGCTTAACACTGTGTCTCTTTTCCTTGAAGATAAGCCAGTTCCTGTCATCTGTATTTCTAGATTCCAGTTTCATTTTGGATTTGAGGAGACCATAGTTTGCTTTCAGAATTGAAAATAATGGTTGAAAATTACTGTAGTTTGCCTCCAAACTATGCTTTCTAATTGTATAATACAGAAAAAACTATTCTGATTTTGTTCAAAACCAGAAGAGAATTAGAGTATGCATGCCAGAGGCAACATAAGATCAGAGAGTATATTCACAATTGCCAAATCAAGGTTTAGCTATTACGAACATGTGTGTGTGCCTTCGAGTCAGTTTTTGACTCCTGGCGGCTACCTGGAGAAGTCCCTGCAGTTTGGCAAAGTTTTTTGTATTATTAAGAAAGAAGAAAGAGAAAGAAAAATTAGAAAAGAGAAATAATCAAGATTAAAAGTGTGAAAAAAGGGAAAAAAAAGAATTGACTTCCAACCCTCCTTACAACAGATATAAGTAACAATATACATCAAATTCTTACTCTAAGGTTACAACATAACTTCCATTATTTCTATTAACCCATATTATTTCTAATTATCAAATCCATACAACATATTTTCATTTTTTTCTGTTTTCCGCAGAGTCCAAAAACATTGTAACAATATACATCAAATTCTTACTCTAAGGTTACAACATAACTTCCATTATTTCTATTAACCCATATTATTTCTAATTATCAAATCCATACAACATATTTTCATTTTTTTCTGTTTTCCGCAGAGTCCAAAAACATTTCCAATTAGCATTAAAATTACACAATGTCTTACCTTGAATCAAAACCATCAATTTCTCCATCTCAACCAACTCTATCAACTTCACCATGTTGCCATATATAAAAACAAAAATTCATAAATTTAGTAACAAATATATTTTAACTTTAATCATTATACACAAATCCTTAAAACCTCGTCATTCAATCCTGGTCCAAAAAAGAAATCCCATTAATAACTTCCCAGAATCTCAATCTATATATTGACCATCATCAAATAAGTTCACTTTGTAAACCTCCTTACTTTTGAAAAGCTTAATCTTCCATCCTTTCAAATGATGTCTCACAAGTTGATTCCCCCTCTTTCTGTCCTTCTCCCAAAAACGGCCACAGTAAGTTCTCTTTATCTCTTCTCCAGAATAGCCTCACCAGTTCAGCACACTCCTCTTGCAAATCCAAACTAAAAAGTCTTTCCAGGTCACTCTTCCATTATTTGTATGTCCCCTTTAATCATTGTGATTAGTTGGTTTCACTTGTAGATCCATTCTGGCTTCCTTTTCCATATCACTCTTATGCTCTGGCATTTTTAAATCCACAACATCGTTACTCATGCCGCCTTCAATATCCTGGATTTTTTGGAACTCCAAATTCCCTTTCAAGGCAATCTCCACTTGAATTTCAGAATTAACCATCTTATTCACCTTTTCCTGTTTCTTTTTTTCAAGGAACTTGAATCTTAGCTCCTAAGTCGTCAAACATTGATTGGAGTAATACAACAAATACAAAATACTTTAATGACCAAGTATAAAATATATACAAGGAATTTGTCTTTGGTG